CATATTTTCAAATAGTTAAACTATAAAAATATGTATAATGCAATTTCCGAAATTTTGTCAAGAATAGAATACCTCCTTATGCTATTTATAAAATTAGATTCGCTTTCTCACACAATTGCAAAAAAAATTACGCACAAATAAATCCAAAAAAGCATGTAAAGGTACAAATAGAACCCACATCTATAATTCCGATTTATTTAATTAGCGATATACAATTCACCAAGTTTATTCCAAGAAACTGATTTGTCTATTTGGCGCCAGAGCTTACAGAAGAAATACGTTCTGATTATTAGCTCAAAGCAATAAAAGCTATTTAATTGATAAAATGCATTGATCACCTCATTGCCACTTCGTTCACATCACATTCTTTGTGAACCTACTTGCAGCACACCTTCCTAAACAATTTGCGCTTATTCAATCGTTGTTCACTTGTGCTTGTGATGTTTGGGAGTAAGTTCTTCTTCTTCAATTTGATTAATTATTTATTCTATGAGAAATTAGTGATTTGTGGGCTTTAAATGGCTCATAATGCAAGGGAGATGTAGGATATTGGTTGACAAGCTCTCGAACAATTGCTCGAGAAAATGGTAGTGTGGGAAAAGATTCAAAATTGAAATTAGGTGTTGGTGCAATGAATCAACGACGATCGGGCAACACGTGCCTACACATGGTTCTAATCTTGATGCAATAGTTCAAAACAATGATTGCACTTATTTCAATTAATAATTATGTAAACATTCGATGTTGGTTTGTGTATTTAGATCACAGCGATAGACATTCAATCAAGACACTTTAAGCCTATTGGAGAGAATTTAGCTTTCCAGTGCCTTCGACAATGCGTTTCAATGATAATCACACAGCTTCTATTTTAAGAAATGCCAATTTCATCACTCTTTATTGGTCAGACCTAAGCTGGAAGATTGACACTTTGTCACTAACAGACTTCGAACTCGTGCCTTTCGAATTTGTCATCAGGGTGTCTACTTGTGTGACAATTTTTTAACCAATAAGATATGAAATTCATTCCTTTAGATTATAAAAGGACGCATTTTTTAATATGAAGTGGTTTTATGAAAGCGATCGTGAGAAATTAGTTAACGCAATTTACACTGCAATAAAATTCTCCACATGATCTCTTTGTTTGCATTCATGACTAATTCTGATGAAATATTTTATTCTAAGTGCATTTACTTGAATTAATACATGGCTCCTTATTTGAAATTTTTTATCTTGACCTTAATTAACTACCATATTTGGTGCTTATCATATTGCCTTACAAGAATTAAGATGCCGTAGCTGACTTAAGGGGAGTGAAAGCTTATTGCATTTTTTTAATAATTTACATGAGCTAAAACTACAATTGCAAAAAATTGAAGGATACCAACTTTGATGTTATTTGAATCAGTTCAATCATATTACAAATCACAGTAAATACAGCAAGTTTTTTTTCGATTTTATTTCACCCTCCACATCCCTCCCACTGCAGATGCTATAGAGCAGGCGCGAAGTGTGATTCTTGTCGGTGGGACAATGAAAGCATTTGATGAATTCATCGATCAAGTATTTCTTCCAGCAGGGAAGGGCGACGCAGATGTATCTATCTTCTCCTGTGGACACGTCATTGATACTACCAGTCAATTGACGATTTACACGACTTCAGAATCACCTGACAATATCACGTGGGATTTCACATTTAAGGTTTCTTCAAGTTTGCAGATTTAATATTTACTATTAATTCTTAAGTAGGCAATTATTTTCTTCAACTTAGAATCGACATGATCCCCGGCTTATTAGAGAATTCGATGAATTCTTGATAGAAATTCGTAAACATATTCCAGGTACTGTACTCTTGCACATGTATACGCCACTCGATTTCATCAAGTGACTCAATACATTCTGCTTCAGTGAAATCGACTGGTGCTGGATTGCCCCACTCATACATGCGGAATTGGATGGGGATAGGCTTTATCTCAAGTTCAAGTGCTTTTCTATCAGCTTCATTCTTCTTCTCCGCTTTCGAGACGTCTTCATTGAAGTAGAGAATTCGAGCAAATTTGAGGGCTTTCGCCTGACGTTTGAGATCAACTTCTGTCTCATTCTCCTCGTTCACTATTCTCTCAAGTTCAGTCCTCTCCTTCTCACTCGGTCCCCGACGTTTGCGAAAGAAGTGAAACCAAAGAAATTGGCGCACAGTTTCATCATAATTTATTATTTTGGGGGTGTTTTCTACGACAATGCACTTTTTGTTTTCCTTACACGTGGATGCGGACTGAGACGAGCCCATCGATTTTTAAATAAATTTGAATTTGGCCACCCAAATATGCAACTTTGCTGTTTTTTTTATTATCATTAGTAACTCATAGCAACAGAACAAAAATGTTAATTTAAATAACTGTGCCTATCACATTGCCGTATGGCAGTCAATGTTGTACAACATTTAATTTGACTTAAGTATGACTTTAATTTGACTTAAATTGAAAATTAGTGACAATCTGTTTTAGTAAGACTCTTCTATTCTGGTGAGGATGCAAAGTGCAGTCTCTATCGCGATTGGTACTATGGCTTCACATTATTAAAAATGGAAGCACTCGTCTGGTAAAATTGTTCAAATATAGGAGACATGTTGGTAAGACAATGGTTGACCCTGAGGCCCTATGCGCTTCCGGTAGATTTGAGAATGTTCTTCTCGAACACAAAATTCTGTGTGGTCTCTCGGTCTGCCACCTACAGTAAGCGGAAGCACACTAGAAGTATGCCTTCATAAAGTATGCTAGCCAGTCAAATATAAGTACACGGCTGAATGTAGAGTGACCAATCAACCAAACATACGAGAAACCTGATTATTAATCAGATGAAGCCACACTACCACATTCGAATTATCGACAGTAGGAATAATTAATTTCTGATTCTTAATAGGCATCCGTAAAATACGTCATCCTCAATGAATAGATGCGTATCAAAAGTAAGCTAGCATTTACTGAAATAAAGTCGAGAAGTGACAGACGGACTGCCAGTTGAGAACCGTCGGAAGCAAATCATTGTAACAAGGCTTTAAATACAACCGCTTGAATTGAACCCTGTCAATTATGATTATGTGCAGTAAAATCTATTGCACAGTTTCCAACCAGCAACGATGCCAGGGCTTAGATGTGGTGATCCTGTGTTTCTCATGGGCGTATCTCTGTGACTCCTCGCTCCTAATTTATGCCCAATGCTTCTTGTTCCCAACGTATTACAAGACAAGGAGATCTCTGAGATTAGGAAAGACTTTGCACATACCTTTATGAATGCTAACTTTCAATGGCTTTGTGGCTGAAATTTGAAAACGATGTCGAGATTAGTGGCATTTATAAGGCAAACCTTTACAACAGCATATATATTCGTTCATGTAACATTTATTAAACGAAAGACACTGATTGAAAATAAAATTAATTATTATAATTAAAATTCATAATTAAGGTGAATTATTCTTATTACGAAAAGAATATATATCTAATATTTTAAAATAATTTTTTGTACGTTTACTTAAATAATAAAAGGCAATATAAGTTGCTTAGAGTTTGAATGAATTGTTTTGTTTAAACTCGTTGAATATTCGACTACACAATTTGAATACACGTGCCCAATATTGACCTGCGCTGTACGCTTCTCAATCACTCCGACAATGGAAAGGAAACGACGTGAACGGAACACGCAGAAAACATTTGGTACTCAAACGGATGTACTTTTAGTGACCCAAGGGATACCAAAAGTTGCAACTGAACGGGTATTGGACCAACTTCAAAAGCACCTAAATATTCGTAGAGGGTTAAAATTTCAAGCAAAGAGAGCCTTGCAACGAAATGGACGCTTCATATGTTCAACCAATTTTAGGTGTTTGAATTCTTTGTCAGCACATCGCAAATATAAGCTAATAATTGAAAAAGAAATGGATCTTTTACGATACCTTCATGAAAAACATTTTCATTCACGAAATTTACATATATGCCGCAGAGTTTTTCATCAAAATGAGAAAAATTCTGATGATGAGGAAACGGTATCTGATTTAGTGAAGCAAGGATCAGGAACTATGCATACGCAAGATCTATCATTATCTGCTCAACTTGATAACCTTTCGATTTCCGAAAGTGCGAAGAACAACATTGACTCTGAATCAACACCTATTTCAGCGAGTCAAATTCGAATGAACATTGATAAATCTGTAATTAGAAGCTTTCGATCGTTTGACACCTCCAATGGAGAAATGACCAATATTGAAGACCGTCTACGTGGGATGCACATGGAAGACAATTAATATATTGTTGTATGTTTGGCGTTTTATATTAAACTGTTTACTCTCATTTTACTTCATTCTTTTGTAGTGTTTTTNATTCTGTTTACGGTTTTAATTGAAGGAGAACTTTGAACTAGCCAATTGCGATAGGCCGAGTGAATTCAAATAGGGAATCACCACAGTATTCGTTTAGTTATATTGTGCCTATCTGGTGTGCAATAGACTTAACACCACGTGGGGCATACTGGTAACGTAAACTCATTTGGCAAAATGTTTATTAACCAGCAGTTGACTTCCCACTTCAAATTACCATGATCCAAGTTTATGTCAACTTGACCACTTAGACAGTACTTATCATACTTTTTCTCCGCCTTTGTGTTTGTCTGCCACGTTTACGTGTGTGAATCTCTATTCTATTTCCCCACTAGACTTGTTTGCGCTTTGATGTTCCTTCTCACGGTGAAGCTCGAAGTCAGCTAAACATTGTGCCTATTTGATTTCAGGGCCTTTGACTGAGATAGTTTGGTAATTGGAGCTTGGTTAGAGGTTAATCTATGAATGGCACTGGGTAAAGTTTATTTCCAATAAAAGTTTATTTGTTTTATTCATTTTAAAATAAGTGAAAAGCATATGTCTTGAATTTGTACTATTTCAGAAAAGTATAGCGACCTCATATTTTTCAATAATTACTAGTTCAGACTAAATGCATATCTAACAAATTCAGAATGAAAAATTAAAATCGCGTCTGTATGACTCAACAAAACACCCGTTTCGCTGATTAAAACTTGCCTTAAGTTATTGAGATTGCCATTCCACTTCGTCAGGTCTTCAAAGTATGCGATGATATTGATTGCAGAACGCAGAATGCAAAGTGGAGTGATGTGAGACATAATATGTCGACATATTGCCGGATTGAAATTCATTGGAGCTCTACTAAGTTAGAGTTAAGGCTTGCAAGTTGTCGTCTTCAAGCTATTCTGGCATGTTATAGGAGATTTCTTGCAATTTTAGAGTACCTAACAGCTCCATTAACTCAATGTTCAGACAGAACAAAATTTTGTTGAGAACATCAAAAGCATGTCTATTTTACCTGTAAGGAACCGAGAAGACTCCATCGACAATTTTTTTAGAGATTTTGGTTTTCGCTGGCCCTGATAAACCGTTTAACTTATTTTGTCCAAAATGGTACGCTTTCCTTGTTTACACCGAATTACTGCCAGGCCAAGTTTGCTAAATTAGACTACTTCTGTTCTAAAAGAAATTAAAATAGTGCTTATATTAAAAGTAATTTAAAATCTACAGAATTGTCAAAAATTCATATAAATTTTGAACATTAGTTGGTGAGGGGAGGGGAGGTAAATTTGGAGAAATGGAAATTCCCTGAGAATTGCGATTGTTTTGTGGTCCTTGAATGACAAACATTTCTTTCAGTAAACGTGTGTTTTTGTGAAATTTGCATTCTTTGGTACCTATTACACATTAACTACTTGTTTATTTTAATTTACTTTACTTAAAGTAGTCGAAGTTGTAACAGATATGAATTTGATGGGGCTTCTATGCTTATCCAAGGCTAATATCATTTCAGAAGTTAAATGTTGTACTTATTAAGGCAAGTAGAAAATATTCCGATTGAAAAGTAACAATTAAGTCCTTTAAGTAAAGACTTTCTTACCCATTCAAGGCAAAACGGTGAAGATGACGTTTATTTGAACAGATTTGGAGTGTTTGCTGAAAGATTTTGGATATAAGACGCAGAAATAAGTTAATGCTGCAGTGTGTTTAACTTCACTCCACATACTCCCTGAAACATTATCAGTGAATTAAAGAAACCAATCGGAAAGTTTAATGAATAACATTGTGCAAACTAAATATTAAGTTTTGAACCAACTGATATATATGAACTGGAACTGAATGAGACTTGGAAATTTTGACCCAAATTACCACTGCATTGGACTAAGATATTGTTAAGTCTGACTTCTAAGTTTGTATGAGGGCAGTTTCGGTGGTTGGTTCCCAAAATAAAATTGAAATCGAATACAAGGCTGTAGATGCACACGCTCGTTTTTTGTTCTCTTAGTTCTCTCCCCTCTAGGCCAATCAAATAATCACTCTATCGTTGTGTCTTAATACGAAAATACCTGATATGTGGAATTCATTTGAGATATCAATTTATACAAACCGGGGTTATAGCTTTAGAAAATCCATTAAGAGGCTCAAGAAATTTTCAATCCCATTTGATAGATTGAGTCATTACCAAAAAGGACACAGAAATGTGAAAATTTGCACAGTGGGGAGGAAGAGGGAGAGAGAGGCGGTTTTAATGAACCCCCCCCCCCCCACTGCCATCATTATGGGCGTCGACTGAACAATTTCCAGATATCATTTCTTTAATAGGAGACAAAGATCGTTGAATAGATATATATCGAACTTTCATCATCAGGATGCCAACATTTGAGTCAATACGCGTCTCCTCAAAATATATTGGGAAAATGAAAACTTCTTCTTCAAACATTTCAGGCATTATCGCCTTATCTGTAGTTTTGCAATCGTTTTTGAAATTCACGAAAAATTGCTGCATCTTGGTACCTCTTTTATTTGCCTTACTGAAATTTATTTTATTAAAAATAGATAATTTATGTAAATATAAGCTATCTGCCAAAAGCCTGTAGCGCATTGCTACTCTAATAAAGCCTGACTGACTCAGAAATCTCTGTGGCAGATTCTCCAACATCTAGCTAGACTCCCTGAACAAGCTAAGCTATAGCCTAGCTGTAAGGGACACAGACGCGTAGCCCGGAATACGTTTATTCGGTACGTATATTGATAGCGAAGTGTTTTGTTGGCAAAGTGATTAGTTATCGAATAACTCTAGCATAATTCGTTTGAACTTTAATAGCTAAATATTTCTAAGTAATATTCTATAGCAGGATTTCTATTTGGTCATTGATGGAGTGTCCCACAAGCCTAAGAACTTAATAAAAACATTTTCATCGAAATAGTCAACACAATTGTGTCAACAACTTGAAGGATAATCAACCCTTTCGTTGGTAGAAGTGCACTATAGCTACATTTGTTACTGCTGCAGAAGGCCAAGTTGCTTCCATCAATTAAAGTTGATTTAACGATAGCCATCGGTGACGAGTTTCAAGCCATCGAAGCTCAATGGGAGTAATGAAATCGAAAAAAGGGAAAGAGAGAGAGAGAGAGTTAAAAGGAATACCTTTGAACCACTGTACGAAAATTTCGAAATTTGTATTTTACTGAATAAATATAAACTATACTCGCATATTAAAGGCGTCATCTTAAAAGAGAAACTGACTCAACTTGTATCTAACTTGAATTATGTTAAGTGGATTAAAAAGTAATCCACTTTTATAAATTCATTATCAGAGTACTCAGTGTGGGCTGTAGGTACCTAGTTCTGAGATTTGACGCAATTTCCACCTCCATTAAAGTTGCTCACAGTCTCGTCATAGAAGACCTTTAAAATTTACCATCTCAACAACCCACTCGACCATCGCAATCCCATTCTCTTGGGCCTGCAGCAAATGCAAGACTGCCTAATGTCCAAACATGTAGTGGCCCATCAATACCATTATTGGGATCACTTACAGTTCAACAATATATTGATGAGTTCAATAAAGAAGCACTTGGTCAACAGTCAAACGAAAGTGGCATTAGCTCCCAAAGAACGGAAAATTGGAAACGACATGTAGACTATTTACTTGAAATGGCTGAAAGGAGACAAGCTGATATGCGCAATATTTACGGGAGAAATCTAACGGGCTATAAGCATCGTCGAATCGATGATACGGCGGAAAGACGTTTTGATATTTCTCGATTGGACAACATGGAGGTCTCGAGTGTTCCCTTGTTTAGTGATATGCCTTTTGCTGAGGCAATGGAACAGCTTCTGTGTTCGCAATCAAGTGCTTCTACTTCCGATTCCTCAAATGAAGAACTGGATGATATAAAGATTGTTGAAATTGTGGGCGGAGAAGAATGATAAATTGTATTTCTGCTTTTTATTAGCAATTGAGTCATGTATTTAAAGCATTAAATATTTCCAACCTACTTACAACCCTTTTCTGCATTATATGGTATCGGATTAATTATCCATTGGCTTTAGTAAGTAAACGTAAGTAGGGTCATAATTGCAATTTAACTTGAACGTTGCCAATTGGATGGACTTGGCCTGAAATGCTCAATAATTAGTGTTTTAATTCGATTAAGCAATAATTTTAACACACAGTGCACTATTTTGGATTGTGTCGTTTTTATGATAGCTGGGTGTTTATTTTCGCACAAAAATAACTGACCCAGCAATCAGAAATATTCGATGAACGAAAAATTTCTGCCAATTTCGAGGAATAAACGAGTAATATTGACGAACACCAGTGGATCAAAATTGGCGTTTTCAATTCTTTAAAACTGTCGATCTTGATCTTTATGCTATCTAAGCACGCCACCTCAAAGGACGTACTCTCAATTGTACTTGCCTTGCCCTTTTTACGTTATTAAAGGCCAGTCTTGTTGCTGCTTAAGATCAACAAAACCATCATGCTCTCTGTGTGCAATCCACTTTATATATTATTGAAGCGCCAACTTTTATACAGGTGATTCTGAAATTTCATCCAAAAATGCCAGTGGGGGTGCGATTGGATGAATAAGTGTACGAGCTTTGAGGTGTAAGTTTATTCAGTACCTACAAGGCTCGTTATTGAATTTATGAGTGTATTGACAATGCAACCTTTGCAATTAAATGGCGCAATATCCAATTCCCGCCATTTTAAGGCATGATGTTGTCTAAATTAAGAGCTGACATTTTGCCAAAATATGGAGACGAAGTATTAGAATCAGTGCTTATGTCTGACCAACTTCATAGAAAATTGAAATTATTGATGTGACGCCGTTTGTCAGCATTAAAAAGTGTGTGGCCGTTTAACAATAATCTGGAAGTAAAATAATTGTCAGGTGACAAACGTAGGAAGTAATTTAAGGTTAGAAAATGGATCCAAAATTGGGCCGAAAGATGGATGCGAGAGTACAATCATTGAGCAACTTCAACTTATACACCAAAGTTGGCATCAAATCAAAGTTGTCATAGTCATAGCAAAAGTACGTGCCCTTAAAATATGAATAAATCAATTTTAATAATCAATCGTACGACAACGAATGGAAGTTCTAGTAAGGCTTCAATCACTGCCAAAAAAGAGCATATCTACTTTAGATAGTTTTGTCCTTGACATTAAGGGGCTTTACTGGTATGATTAAATTTCCGGTTCTTTGCATTATGCTAATTATAAAGGACTGGCGATTTGCAGTAGACAGATCGATAATTTTGAAAATGTGAATGCCTATACAGTCTGGTAATTGGTTGCTTACACAGCAACGGGAACACGTTTACTCATAACTTATACGAGCAAAATATGCACAGATCAGTATTTCATTTATAACTACATACTTCAACAAAAAATACACTTCATACACCTAAACTATAGCTTCGTCACTCACGATAAGAAATTGACCGATTTAACTATTGATTTTGCAACTTACTTACAATGCCCTTCAATTTTAATTGTAATTGCATTGATTTTCTATGAAACTCTTCAATCAAAGACTGCCCTTCTGACGAGATGGACAATTGTGAGGTAAATTGAATAATTTATACCTTGGATAGGTGTTAGCTCCTTCTAAATCAAATAGACCTGTCAAATTAGTCTAGATACCTTAAAAAAGTGAAATTGGGACGTTTAATAGTGTCAACCCATGAATCTGCATGATCCAACTGAGTGAGCCTATGTTTCATTTTCTTGATCAATCTATACTCAAATCTGTCCAATTTAGAAACTTCAGGAAATTGGCTGATCATATATTTCTACGGTAAGTCCTTTTTGTATATTTCTTTCTCTCACTATATATATTTTATAGGGTGGTGTGTGCGATAGACTTATCTCCACGTGGTGCACCCTGGGCAACGTATACTCATTCGGCAAAAAAGTCGAATAACTGATACTTGACTTCTGACTCCAAACTACCACCCCACTGTATGCCATATTCGACTGCTTACACAGTACTCACCTCACCTCACATCATTGAAACACTCTTTTGTTCCTGCTTCCCTCTCGACTTTTTCACTTTGATGTTCCTTCCCCTATATGAAGCCTGAAGTCAAGTGAAGGGCTAATGATGACTATCAAAACGCCTGCCATTTAATATAAATAAATATTTAAAATCTAACTTAAGTGTGGGCTTTACCTAAAAGTAGACTTCTTACAATCAAGCGAATTTTTTAAAATGTTAACTCGTAATTTTTAAGACATGTTATGTATAATGTGATTTAAGTGGCTTTTCTGGTCTGTAGGCATGAATTTTAGGTCATATTTGAAGTACTGTAAAAAAAGCGAGAAATTTTTATTATCAATTTTTGTACATATTATTTATTCACCTTAAAAGCACACAAAATATTATAAAAATTAAAATATTTTAAACTTTGTTATTTATCAGCTGATGGAGTGGTGCCCGACCAAACCCCCGATATTAGCTCTCCAAGCAATCTAAAATCAAAAAATAAGAAGATTATCATTCTACAATGATGTCGCTATGTCCGGAACTTGGGTAAAGTTTAAGCTATATTTTTTTTTACAAAATGGCGACTTCCTGAAGTAAAAAAACATTTTTATACCACTTTTTTGAACATTCTCCAATTTTTTAAAAATAGTAAAAATTGAATTTTTTAGTTGGCCGTAGTTCCGGACATAGCCAATTAACTAAAGAAGATTCTCTTAAAATTTCAAGTAAATTGGTTGGGCAGAATCTGAGAAATCGGGGGTAACAGATTCAAAAAACAGTTTTGAGAAAAATGGGTTTAAAGTTTCAAGTAAGATAGTTTGCCGTCTAAGTCATAAAATTATATTTTTAACTTACATTTATTCAATCTGCCATTCCTGCTGCACACATTGCACCTTCCTCGACTTCGAAAAAACTACGTTCGGTGTCTGTGTTCGCTATTCGAGCAGTTCTGTCCTCCTACGATGCGCTGGATGCTCGTATCTCGGAGCGGTCAATCCAAACGTTGTCTCGTCTGATAGCAAATGCATGAGCTTCCGGTCAACTATTCACTTCCATAATCCTCTTCATCTTCAATATCGGTATAAATCCTTCATTAAAATTACAAACAGCAATAAATGTTGCAATTTCAATGATCTGAGACCCGGAATGTATATGCTTTGGAGCGAAAGTCCATTTCAGCGAGTTTAGAGACTCATTATTATTTTGAGTTTACAAACCCAAACAGCGAATTAATAACTCTTCTGATGATAAACTTCGAAGGATTTGTAAACGGGTGGATATGAGGGAATGTAGCGTAGACTATTGCAACTGCATTGTAATGCAATTTTGAACCCGAGTCCGCGTTGAGCCGTTCTTGAAAATCTAATCTCGTTGTTATATGTAGTACACGAAACAACCAAAGAAATTGCTGAAAAGACCGTGAAAAACTCCAAAACACAGT